CCTGGTAGAGCTATCCCCAAGATTGTCCCTACCTCTGGTAGGTGGGATGTCCCGGTCCCTGTTCAGGAAAACAGAGGCAAAGAAACTGTTAAAAATATCAGCTTTCTTGTCTGGCGTAGTTACAAGATTACCATTTGTGTCTTGCAGGGGCCCTACATTGCCTGGTGCCCTCTTCTTGCTCCCAATATACTTGAAAAGTAACTTTTTGTTGTCCTTAATCCTGGACGCTAGCCTGAGCTCCATCTCTGGCTTGGCCTTCCTAATAGCCCTCCTACACTCCCGGGCCGAGGAGGAGTATTCCTCCTTGGTGACAGCTCCTCCCTTCCACTGGTTGTACGCCCCCCTTTTAGTCCTCAGGCATTGCTGAATGCCCTTGCTGAGCCAGGGGGTTTCTGAGCACTCTTACCCTACTTGCTTCTCTCAGGGGCTGTTATCCTTTGGGCCTGGAGGATCGCCCCCTTAAGCTACGACCATCGTCCACTATAAGACGACAAAAAGAAGGGGAATGGAGGCCTCACTGGAACATCAAGGAGGGGCAGATGGCTGTCCTACTCTTTGTACAGCCAAGTACCAGGATAATAAGGCTGGAATGGGAGCACCCAGACCAGGATGTAAAACAAGCCCATGGTACAGGATGGTTTAAGATAATCAAGATATAAATGGAATATAATACGTCATTTGTTTTGATCACTGTATAAAAGGAGGGTTGGAAAGACTGGGAATGTTGCAGTGGCTTAGGGGAGCCTGAGCGGTGTCGTGCCAACTACTCTGTCACAGGCACAAATACATTAACACCTGGTCTGATATACTGGCTGGGCCAAAACGGGTTAGGGCTCTGGCTGTAAACAATACACGTGGCTGAATCTTTGCCACAAACTGAGCCTGTGGTCATTCTTTAAGACAAGATTAGTACTGGAATCTCTTGGCTGCAACTTTTGCCAGCAAATTTGCAGGCAGCAGCTCTGCAGAAAAGGACCTGGGGGTGACAGGGGACAAGAAGCTGAACAGGCGCCGGCAGTGTGCCCGTGGTGCCAAGAAGGCTACCAGCATCCTGGGCTGCATAGGTAAGAGCGTTGCCAGCAGATCGAGGGCAGTGATGCTTCCCCTCTATCCAGCACTGGGGAGGCCACATCTGGAGTCCTGTGTC